AACACATTAGTCAGCCGGGTGTGTGGGTGTGCGTCAAGTCAAGTAAGTCGCTGACGGACAGATGCAACAGCTACTGCTACAACAATAATAACAAATATTGCCACGATTAGTTTATGATTTAATTCAGCGGGCAATTTGTGATCGGTTGCATGTGTGGGTGCGCGCAATTTCCATAAAGTCTAACTGTAATTGGATACCCGTCATGAATCTTGCCAAATGTGTGCGTTGGAGATATGCAAAGCGCGGCCGCCAGCCCGCCAGTCCGCCATTAGTGGCCAGCGGCGTTGCTATGCACTTTCTGTGGCACAAATTGAGACATGTCTGCTTGTAAGTGTGCGTCAAATGTGTATGTGTGTGCGTGTATTTGCCTGCACTGCAGTGCCATTTATTTAGCGCTGCTGCTCGTTTGTTGTTTTTGCTTTTACCTGCCGACCGGCGACGCCGGACGGCAATCAGTTCCACGGTTCGCACCGAAATGGACATTGACTTTTATAGCTTCAGCTTTGCTCTTTGGCCAAGCAGCACTGCGCTGCTTAGCATAGTCACACAGCCAATTGTGGATAATATAGAAAAAAGCCAACAACAATAGCAACAGCAGCAGCGACAGCAATAAAAAGTCAACGAAAATAAAAAGCACGAAGTAATTTGTTAAGAAACGCGTTTTATTCTCCGCTTTTGGCGCTCAACTTGGAAGCGGCTGACTCTGTACTCTGTGCAGAAGAGCAGCAGCAGCAACAGAAGCGTGTAGATTCGGCCGAAAATGTAGATACCAAGCTGCGGTTGGCCATTGGATATAGAATTACAAAACTGGCGCCAGTCAAAAGGCATTAACATTTTATAGTTGAAAAGTGTAAAATGATTTTTAAGAAAGAATTAAATAAACAAGACGGCAAAATAGATAAAAGTTCAGCTCATAAAAAATAAATAAACCTTATATAATATTAGAAGTGAACAATAGAAATGACGAAAATCGTAAAGCCACAAAGCATTTATGCCAATATATAATTTTTGTTTATGTTAATACACAAGTACACACACACACACACGCACACACATGTCCAACCAAGCCCTGAAAACACATAAAAAATTAGAATAATATTTTTGACAGCGCCACACACAGACACAGGCACATGTGGACGCGATTAACTGTTCTTTAGCATTATTTAGGCTTGACTGGCGCTCTAGTCGGCTCTACATATGTACGTGTGTGGAACGAACCCGTATTTATATCCGGCAAAGCATTGTCGACATGGCAGCAAATCTCAGATTTATATGGTGAACGTTTTGCTGGCGCTACAACAAGGAAGACTGACTGTTTGGATTTTTGACCAACAAATAAAGTCAGTTACCAACACTTCAACATGCAATAACAACAACTACAAGTCCCTAACGCTGAAAATAATAAAATTTCAAGGCGCAAGTGTCTATTATTTTAAAGGAACTCATCTTTACTTAAAGATTCAGATCTTAAGACAGGAACGTAGATAATTGCATCTATCTTGAAACAGTCTTAACACCAACAACAACATCAGCCTCGAAATCCAACGCAGAAGAACTCTTGCCAAATGGTGCTGGTGCTACTTCGGACTGAGTAGGCATTTGAGAAGTATAGTACTCTCTCCACAGACAAAGGCAAAACTCTACGAGCCACCCATCATCCCCGTTCGGCTATATAGTGCCAGAGGCATCGACGATGACAACATCTGATGAGTCGACCTTAGGAGTGTTCAAGCTAAAGGTTCTACGGAAGATGGTCCTTTGCGCATTGGAAACGGCGAGTACTGCACTCGATGAAACGATGAACTCAGAAGAGTCAGCGGCTGTGAGCCGAGGCGTTGTCGTGGTGGAGCTTACGATCGGTTGCGATGTATTGTCGGACCCGTTTGAGTCTCTTGAGGAATTCTAGGTAAAACTTGGCTAATGGAGGGATTGTCTAGGAGAAACAAATGTATGGTGGACGATGCCTTTGATGTCAAAAAAGACAATGAGCATTTTTTTTTTTAACTTTGGATTTGTTCATTCATCAGCGACCTCTTCCCGGTCCACCAAAAAGGCCTAGTGCCACCGAAGCACACCACTTCTTGCTAAGGCAGCATCTGGGTAAGCTTGTTTGAATATATCAAACCCTGTATAGGAGGCTATTTATAAGTTGAATAGCTAAACTTAGCTTTAGCAAACATTTGTTAAAGTTTTAGGATTGATTTAATAGCGCTCGTTTTTCCTTCTATTCATCCGAAGGGCAGAAGCCCAGTAATTTTTGAAGAAGTAAAAATACACACCTATATTTGATTATTTTCCAAACTACTTGCAAGCTAGCTGAAGTCTGTAAATCGCTTAATTTTCTTTCCTAGTACCGCCTAATGAAACCAGGTAAATGTTTTATCGAAGATCAATTATGAGTGAATCTAGAACTTGCCTTATCTTTTGAAATCAAGAGCATCTTTTTCTTTTCGCCTAATTTTTAATTTCGTTCTAATTACAATTACCAGTAATTGTCAATATTTCAACGCCTAATTGTTGGCGATCACTTAAGTACCCCATTTGAAGGAGCTGTCTCTCATAAATAGAATTCAAGCTAAAACATACATAATGAGCTGCAATTTTCTACACCGAAATGAAGTAGATATGAAAAATCACGCAGCCACTTGATCAACATACGTCAATCATTGTACTCACCGGGTCACAATCCCATTCGTCGTGCCAAACGCACACACTTAAACACACGCGGCTCACGAAATTCCTTCAAGTTGTGAAAGAATGTCTTTTTGTTGGTGCTGCTGGGTGAAGAGCTACGAGAAAATGCGAAAGTATTCTCCAACACACGAAGTTATTTAGGTAGCTCCGACGGTGCGGCGCTCAACTCATCCCATACTCGACGTTGCAAAATGCTTTGCCTCGTGGCCTACGGCGACACTTGACCTGCCTGCCTGTGCGTTCAATTATTCACTTAAGCTTGAGCTAAGCTGTGTGATTGAGCTCTTGACGAATTGTCTCTAAATTTGTAACTTGGACTTGATGAGTGTTTGCTAATTGTTTGAGTGCCACTAAGCACTGAAGTATCAATCGATGGTTATTATGGATTAATTCTAAGAAATCACTTGAGCAGCTAAAAAAAAATAAAATTATTCCTCCAAGTTTACTCTGTTTACCTTTGTCGAACAGTACTTAAACAAAAAATAAAATAAAATTAATCATTTACGAATACTTGGGTATGAGAAAGCTCTGTATACAGTGGGTGTCGTGAGCTCATTTTTGACCAAACACAACGTCGAGTTGATGATTTGCATATGAGTTACTCCACTGATTTCATAGTGATTTCCTCTAGACATTTCCTGCAGTCTTCTCGATTTGTCAGACCAATTTTGCGGACATCACCACACAGTGACCAATTAGTAAACTGATCATGTTCCTACAGTCTCTTTTATCGTGTTCCGATCTACAGTTTTGCACATGACTTTAACAGTCTTGCTGCCAGGTAGCTCGTTCCACCGGGTTTTGATTTTCTTTACCATGTTTCTGTCCAGCTCGTCGTATAGACAATGCATGAATTTCCCAATGTTGATCAAGTTTTCTGGTACACCGTACACCATTATTGGTAATCTCGGGCGCCCAGCAGAAATGAAGTTGCTTTCTTCTGGAAACACTTTTTACTGCTGCCCTCCTTCACAAGACACTATTGGTCCGTTACTGCCTTGATTGCTACTTGGCTGTCGACGTAGATGTTGACTCTGAAATTGCCTGCATCGCAATAGCAAAGACCACAGTTTGAAATATACTGCAACTTAAAAGACTGACTTATGCCTAAATCTGGACAGTATAACCTAGCAACAACTCCATCCTCCAGCCATTTGTTTAAATGCTCAATGTGTTGTTCGCAGCTAACATGTCTTTACGCTAACTATCTTGCCAAACTGCCGGTCACTGATATCCGAAGGTTCTATATGTAAATTCTCCTGCAGCCGGTAGTCATCTCGTCGATTTTTACCACCGTTTAATTACAGTTCAAAAGCCGCCGTTGCAGTTGTTCTTAAAGCTTTCGATGTGCATAGTGCAGCCAGCGTCTGAAACCTTCCATTGGCTTCCAATAATTGTATTTCCGTACGCCTGAAATATAACTGGTCTTACAATAGCTGTGTAGAAACAAAGTAGTCTGCTGTCCGAGACTACCTCGAGGTACTTGTTACTTGAGAGATAGTTGTGTCCCATTTAACGAAAGGAACATCCCTTGCGGAATTTTGTGCTTTCTTGGCAGATCCGTTTTCTCTGGGTTCAACATCAGACCTGCTTGCGATGTCCAATTCTGGACTGTATTGAGAGTGGTGTCATACTACTGATAATGGTCTGTAGCCACCCGCCCGTTATTTAGATGGAAAAGGCGTCCGCAAATGATACTATCTTAGGGGTTTTGCCGTCCAAGTTCCTAGCAGTTTATTCACCACTAATGTCTATAGAAGTGGTAGATAACCTAACATATAGATAGCACATCCTTGGTCATATTGGCCTCGTTTCAACCTACTCTTATCTTTCTATAGGTCAAGAGGTCTGATCCAGTGTTCTATTCCGTAGAGACATTGTTGAGTGTTCCAAAAATGTGCAGGAATGCTCCAAGGCCGTTTTTCTTATATTCCAGAGCCCTTTCGATATTAATTACCAGTGTATGGAGTGCAGTCTCTATTGATCTGCGTTTCTTATATGCGTGTTGCGACAAGCTTTTGGGAGACGTTGCAGCCCTAATGTGTATTTAATGTTTTAGTTTATTTTAATATGAGATCTTAATGAATGTCTGTATATTTTAAAGAAATTGAAGGTATTTTAAAACATTACATAAATAGTTTGCAAAACTGTTTTAAATAGCCTTGCCAATCATCTGCAAAAAAAAATAAAATTAGGGTTACCACTTTATCATTATATTTTATATAGCAAAACATTATAAAATTATCACTTCCTCTAAAAAAAAACTATTTGTAATCCCTTGCGCTTTCGCTTATGCCTCGTTTCAGGTCGCTATGGAGTTTTTAAAACAGCAACAACAACGAAATCACAACACACTGAAATGTAATACCTAGACGCTCGCCAGTATTGCTGCAAAACCTGAAACCTTGCTGAAATAAATTAAAAGCAAATCGAAAAATACGAAAACAAAAACAAAGAAAAAATCCGTAAGGCAAGTGAATAAAATAATAAAAGCAAAAACAAAAAACACTTGCAATGAACAAGGAAATGCGAAAAAGGCAAAAGCCACAACGACGGCAATATGCAATTAAAACAGCAACAAAGCGCACACCACTCGCACTAACTGCAACAACAACAACGGCAATAACAGCAACACCAACCCATGTGACAGTGAACAACGAATTCGTGCGCACAATGGCAATTGTTGCAGATAGCGCCGATAGCGTTGCTGTTGTTGTTGCCAACGACAAGCAAACTCAAAGTTGCTGCGCCAACAACAAGCAATGCTGCAACAACTGCCGGCAACAGCATCTTCGGCCTACACAATCGCTTACACTGTCGCCGCAGCAACAACAATCACAACAACAACAGCGTCAGGGATGTGAGCATCATGTACAACGCCATCTGCGGTCATGGTCGGGACAGCGGTCAAAGTTCAGCGCCTGGTTGCTAACAACTGTGTTCATCGTGGCCATTTGCCTGGTGCAGAGCGCGCATACGAATCTCTTGTTTGGTAAGTTCGAGATACAGGGAAGGAGATAGAAGAGGGGACAAAGTGATTTCTTTTAGTTTGAGCAGCTCGAAGTGTTGACGTCTTTAATTTATTTGATTTTAATGCGTATTATTTTTATTTTGACTAAGATGTAGTGCTCATACATACCACAACAACAACACGTGTGGCACATTGATTTACGAGCTGCTCGAGTGTTTAACGCACGACCGGCTTGTTAGTTGCCGCTTACTGGTGTTGCTGTTGTTTTTAATGAGCAAACTAACGAAGAGGCCAACATTTTGATAAAGCCAAAGGTTTTCATGTTACAGAATCTGTACAATAGGGTGTCGGTTATTTCGCCAAGTTTTTTTTTTTTTCTTTTTTGCTTTGCAAGCTGCTGCTGAAGCTTCAATATTTTAGCATAAAAACAAGAAAACGTTCAGTTTGTATCGCAGTTATATGCTATAGTGCTCCGATCTGAAAAATTTGTTCAGGGTTTGTACTGTCGCTTCGCACAATAATCCAAGCCAAATTTCGTAAAGATATCTCTTCCAATAAAACATTCTTAAATACCAGACTTGAATCCGATCGATTAGTTTTTATGAAAGCTATATGCTAGAGTTATCTGATCTGAGCAAAATCTTCGGAGCCTTAGGCAATAACGTTGCGGAATTTTGTGGAGATATCTTGTCAAATAAAAATTTTTTTCCCACAAGCACTTGATTCCGATCATTCAGTTTGTGTGGCAGCTATGAGCTATAGTGGTCTAATCTGAATAATTTCTTCGGAGATTGTTGCAATATTATAGACTATTAGTCGTCTTAAATTTCGTGAAGATATCTTCACAAGTGAAAAAGTTTTCCCCACAAGCACTTGATTCCGTTGTTACAGTTTATATGGCAGCTATATGCTATTATAATCCGATATCGGCGGTTCCGACAAATGAGTAACATCTTTGAACGAAAAGGACGTGTGCAAAACTTCAGATTGATATCTCGAAAGCGGAGGGACTAGTTCGCGTATATAGAAAGAGACAGACGGACATGGCTAAATCGACTCATGCCTTTTCATGGTGATATCTGACGAAATGACCTGAGCGGTTCTCTTAATGCACATATGTATGTGTATTTGTGCGTAGATAGCGAAGCTGCGAAACCGGTCGTGGAATCGTTTTCTAAGTGAACAATCTTTATGGTATTTGCCAAATCCATCCAACCAAAGCTGGAGCTGTATTGACAATTCGTCCTTATAATTATACTCGGAAATGTCTTTTATTCTCCAGGATTCCTTAACGAATTCCAAGTTCTTTTCCACTCGAAACATTCTTGCGTACTGCGAGTATTGCGCTTTTTTTCTATGGCCTCACAAAGAACTACATATAGCAGTCCACGGGCGATCTTTCTAGATCTGTCAAATTACGTAACCTAACCCAATTTCAAGGATTTGTACGGAAATCGCATATCTCTCTTATAAAACTAATCTCATTAAATTAATACTAGGCGCCGAAAAATTTGGAAGCAATTATTTAGAGGGTTTCAGCTCCTCTGAAAATTGAGCTCACTTTCTCTTCTTCTAAGAATGAAAATGTCAGACTATAACTCTACGATCTGTTGAAGCCCTGAAAGCCATTATAGACGGCTAGCATTCATGCTAATTGTTATTGCTATAATAGTTATGGCGATTTCAACTGATCCGCGTCGCTTCAGTTTGGTAGATTCCACTAACTTAAGAATTAGATATACCGCTTTAACTCAATAGCCCTTTGTAGTATGGCGACTAAACATTTTCGCTGTTTGGTGCCAATTGAAGATTGTATGCGTAGGCAGGTCCTTTTCCACCTTGTCTTTGCAGTGGAATGGAAGTCTTCCTCTCCTTTCTCCGGCGTGTACTGCGTCGAATACTCTCAGAGCTGGAGTGTTTTCATTAATTCGTCTTATTTCTCGTACCGGTCATCGTTCCATCGACTATGGTATTCGCCGTTACCAACGAGTAAAGGGCCATATAATCATCTGTAAAACCTTTCCCTCGAAGACTTGTAACGCCGACTCATCAGATGTTGTCCTGGTTCATGCCTCATAGAGCAGAGATTTGTAAAGTTTTGCTTTGTTCGGCGTGAGAGGACTTTACTTCTTAACAACTAGTTCCAGTAAAATAATCACAGTAATCCAGTTCCATGCCATCAATATTCATAGACCACCTGTTTTATTCAATTTAAGCAACGTAAATAGTTTATCATAGTCTAGTAGCACTGGTTCTTTAAAGGAACTTTGCGAATAATACTGTCAGTGTCAAATATGTCAAATAAGTTCAGTAAGTCCAAGACCTAAAGACCACAATAAGATTTTGTGTATATAATATAGTTTCTGAAGGAGATCCACTTACTTAAATGTTCATTGTCCACAAATTGCCAATTCCAAGTCGTTTCGGTTATACGGATATTATGCCTCGAGGAGCTGCTGATTTTCAATTTCCAAGATTTTGTGTCTTTTACCATAACGAAACCGAGAACATTTGTATTTGGTTGTAGGTTTTTATTTCAGTATAAATGCGGAAAAAGTGATGTAAAGACCTTTCGTAAACTTCTTCAGACTTATAACGATGAAGTGATTCCGACTTTCTTCAACACTTGGTCCGTTTATCATAAAAGCTTTTTACAATAACACCCTTTCCAGTTATATCGTTGCTATAAGTATCTAGCAGTATTTGGGGTGTGTTATCATCTCCGTTTCCTTAACCTCTCTCTTCTATTTCTCCCTCTTTATCTGTTTGCCCTTTCTCTCTCACCCACTTCTATCTATGTATAATGTTAAACCTTAACATCTCCCCATATGTTACAGTTTGTTGGTATGAAATTTCAATCCGCATCAATACCGTTCATTTTAATAGGCGTGTAGTCCCTCACCTTAGCTCACCTCCCCTCCTGACAGTCATTTAACATATACATATATTACATATATATAACATATATATGGAAATATCTATATTGTAACCAAAAGTTAAGTTATAAAATTGGGCCACAAGCTAATAGGTAACCGCAAAACCCGAAAATGCGGGTATATGTGCGCGCTGCGGCCGCGACAAGCCATCTAATAAGTGACCGAGCCCTCTAACAACCAACTACCAGCTTATCGACTACTTGCGTGATGAATCGCAGGAAATTCTTATTCGTCGCTGTGAAACATTTTACGATCACATTTTCATAAACAAAGAATTCATTAGGTGAAAGTGGTGCACATGTAACGACCTCTGTTTCGGATATTTAAGTGAGAGTAGACATTTATATGCGTGCTGCTCTTCGCCACCCAAAAAACCCGCTCTACACACCTGTCCCCGAGCTATCAGGCTACCAACACTTAGTTTTTAGCGGTTTTTAAGTGTCGACTGGCACCGTCATCGATTCATCGATGGCACGTGTACCATTCGAGCGGATTCGAGTCAGTAGGAGAACGGCGACATCATGTCAGCGGTCGTAAAAAGCCAAATAACCCAAAATATGTCAGTTTGCATTAAGTTTGTGGTTTTCTTTGTCCGCTGTGGAGAAATATTTGATTTGAAATAATTATAAATGTACTAGTTTATACTGTACTAATAGTCGAAGTTTGGAAGAATGCGGTTGAATAGTGACGGAAGGTGTGGCCCTGTCGAACTGTAAGACAGCTTTGGTCTTTCAGAAACTCGCTGGAGAACTTATTTTTGGGTTAGTTACATCTAATGCCGAGTTCAATCCGGGATCCTTTCTTCTTGTTTATTGACGTAGACACCACTTACGCGGTTATAGCCGAGTTTACAACAGCGCGCCAGTCGTTTTTTCTCTTCGCTACGTGGCGCCAATTGGATATTTCAAGCGTAACCAGTTCCTTCTCCACCTTGTCCTTCCAACAGAGTGGAGGTTTTCCCCTTCCTCTCTTTTCCAAGATTTGGCGCATGGTGAATATCTGGTCGGTTGTTGATTTGCCAGGTCTAAATACACACTGATAAGGTCCAATAAGTTTGCTGTCAGTGGGCTTTAATCTTTCACACAATACCCGAGTCGAGCTCGAGTTGCCGCGAAAATCGAGAGTAACTCTCGCGCAGCTTCGTTCTGTGTACTGTATCAGATTACACTAATACTTCTCCAGTATCGATCCCGACATATCAAATATGTATATGTGCAGCGTGCAATGAGTTCCCGTGTGATACTCTTTACATGTCTAGCTAACATCTGCACCCCTCTCCCTATGGTCCGACCCGTCGAAACAGCACGTTTCCAAAGCCTGCCGTTGGATGACTTTGTTGACAAGTTATCTGAACCTAACCATCTTACGGGTATTAGATAATCGTTAGAACAACAATAGAGTCTTCTTGATATATGATGTTCAAGATCGATGTTATGCATTAGATCTGTGAACTTTTGGAATCTGTGAGTTACTAAAGCGGCGCAGATCGGATAAAATTTCGAATACAGCACGTTCATATAGTGGAGGGCTTTCCTCTTCCGAGAGTTTTTAATGCAGTAACACCTGAAGACTTCATCTACTATTGAACGACGAAGTGATGTTGAACTTCTGTATTTAAGATGTTGCATTCTCTGAAAACTTTCTAAAAACGAAAAAAAAAAAAAATTGTAATAATGAAGTAGATTATAATATAATTATTTTGAACCAACATCAAACTCATCTTAACAATCTAACTATATCAACTAAAATATTTACACTTCTAGAGATATTTATAATTTTAAATATTTATGAAGAACGACAGTGTTTTTTTTTTTTTTTGTTTTTGTTTTGTACGTATGCTCGTCTATACTTATCATGTGTTTGTTGAGGCGCCACAAATATTTAAGCAAACAGATTTTTATGAACTTCGTTATGAAGATGCCAGCATATGGACACATACTAAATACCTCGACATACGCCATACATATCTACATATAAGTGTATGTGGGTTTTGAGTAGACAGTTACCATTATAAACACAATGACTTTGTTTATCTCCACTGTTGAGAATTCTGACAGGTGTGACATGTAGTTCCGTGAAACGAAA